ATCTTATGCTTCTAAGTCCCACAATGTAAATGTGCATGAGATTGGCATGTTGGGAAGGAGCAAGATATTACCCATGAAGAAATATTACCAAAATGTTTTCCCGTGTCTCATGCCTACTCCAACATACTTCCTGTAATGGATATATTTTTAATTTATTTAATGCATTTCTCTGTGCATGTTTAGACAAAGAAAGACAACTCCCAGCATGCCCTAGGCAGACTGACCACCTGCTGTACACTTGGAGTTCTAAGCCATTTTTCTGTCTGCATATGCATAACTTGCATCGTTACTCACCTTTCAAGATGGCACCCTTCCCAAATGTTCAGCATGGGAATAGTTCTCCATGTTACGTTAGTTGCTGGAATGCCAGCAGCAACCAGGGAAGTTGAGCAAGGAAGGGCACACACAGTGTGATGACATTGTGAGCTAAATAAAGATCCCTTTGCATTGTAGAGGAAGATGGGAAGAATTTGTTTTGGCGACTTAATTTTTGGTAAGATTCCCCTGTTGCAAGTAAGGTTTATATCTGACCCTAAAATATGGTACTCAGTAAATCTGTACTTCTCACTGAAGGATTTCATTAAACTGGAGTGTCATTACAGGTATAATGGGATAGTTTTCCAAACAAGAAAGTTGGTTCTCAGTTTCTCTTTTTCCAAATAGTTTCCCAGTGGAGTCTTTCTCTGTGTCTTGGAACAGATGCACTGCTGCATTATGGGAAAGGATTTTTGTAAGGAAAGGAGATGCAGAAATGTGAGGAGACATGGAGTCTGGAAGAAAGATTGTAATAAGCAAAGCAAAATAATTACTTTAACTAGTTTTGCAGCCCAAAGGCTTGGAATGTCATACAGAAGCAATTTAATACAACATGTGCATGTTTTTTTCTTCCTTCCAGGTGGCTTCATCAGTTTTAATGGTTCCTGGCGAGTTCAGGGGATCCTGGCCATGTCCCGCTCCCTTGGAGATTATCCACTGAAAAATCTGAACGTTGTTATCCCTGACCCAGATATCCTGACCTTTGACCTGGACAAGCTCCAGCCAGAGTTCATGATCTTAGCATCAGATGGACTCTGGGATGCCTTTAGCAATGAGGAGGCGGTCCGGTTCATCAAAGAACGCTTGGATGAACCACATTTTGGAGCCAAGAGTATAGTCCTGCAGTCATTCTACAGAGGATGCCCTGACAACATAACAGTCATGGTGGTGAAGTTCAAGTGCAGCAGTAAAACAGAAGACCAGTGAAATTTCTAACGGCCCTCTGTCTCTCTGGGCGAACTTCTTCATCAGACCTTTACACGTCAACACAGTAGACAGCTGTAGCGAGTGCATTAGTATTATGACTGTACATCCAAAAAAGGAATGAGGAAAATCACACTTTGATAGACAGAGCTACACAGAACACAGAATACCATTGGTGTTTTTTTTAAACAGAGAATCTAACACTTCCTTTCTTTTCTCCGACTCTTTAATGGTTTAAGCTTAGAAAATGTGTCCATTTTAAAGCCTAATGACTTCTGCTTCGGCTATTTCAAATAGCTGCAATCTCTTAGTCTTCACATATGAGCCAAACAGGGTTGTCACTAGCCAGCCATTGATGGAAATGACATGGGCTTTTCACTGATGTAACTATCTCCAGTCTGATGCACATTCTCTGCAACGCTACTGCTCTCTTTTTTTCCTAAACTGCAAAGGTAGGAAGGCAGATAGCAAACATATTTCTAATTCTTGAACTGGCTTTTCATAGAAGAAGGCAAAAGATATGTGGATTGGTCCACAACAGGCAATCCTCTCTTCGTCCATAGGCAACCATCTTTCCTGCCACGTAATTAGGGTCAAGCCATTGAGCTTTTCCATAGGTGTGTGCTTATGCTGTCTGTGTGCATGCATTTAATGATGCTTTGCCTATTTTATCCAACCAGCAGATAGCTTTTGGTGTCCATGCTCATTGGAATGTTGCACATTCATTACCTCTTGCTTCTAGATGTGCTGAATGTCATGAATGCACCACGGCTGTGCACATTATATATGTCAGAGACTGTTGTTGGGTCTGGGGTGGAAACTTACTGGGAAGTCAACAGAAGATTCCTGCAGAAGACTTCAGAACCATTTTTCCATTATCAGCACATTTTCAAATATGAGGTAGGTTAGTACCTACCTATGTAGGAGGTACTTACCAACATAATTCTAATGGGCATGGTATTTCATGGTGTAAATAGTAAGATGTCAGCCTTGGGGGAGGGGAAGTGTTGACTGCATATAGCTGTAATTTGGAGCCTATGAATATTGTATGCTTTGTGGTAGAAAATGGGCTTTTCCCATTGCAGTATTGATGGATAATTTAGGTGTGGCCTGGCTGCTTTATCTCCCACAGTGTTCATCATTGAAGAGTTTCATGGTCAAAGAAACAAGCAGGTGTTCTAGTTTAGCATAAAGCCTGGAGTGGGGGCAGTTTCAGTTGTTACCTTTTATGACATAGCACCATTAGACATGCTGGTTTGTGGACAGTGTCTCCCTTCAACAAGGATTTGACCCTAGGTGTCCATTGTACCACTTTAAGCGCAGCTGGACAGTAATGAAATCTTGCTTGTAGACAGAGCGATATCATGACCAGTGCCTGTGATGTCCGTGTACAGAGCCAAATGTATATTTCTGAGAGCAGAAGTATGATGGGTGGGTGTTACCAATGTTCATCTGAATGGTGTTGCCATCTAAACTAAGAGAAAAAGAAATATATGGGATGATGGATACTGAGTATAGCTTGTGGGCAGGTTGGCATGTCGAGCCAACCCATCCCAGCAATACATTACAGTGGGTTGGTTCTTGCAAGAACATCCCATGGAGTGCCCAAAAGATGAGTACGTTCACCCCACTCCTTTCTCTTTAGTCTGCCAGCCAGAATGCCAGAGGACTTTGCATCTCAAGCTGCCATCCCTGCTGCAAGCAGGAGCTATTTTAGCTCATTGCAGATTCCCCCCTCCCTGTTGCCTTTTAACTTTTATTTTCAGATTGCTTTTTGTAATCTCTGTTTTGCAACTCCTCTGAAATGCCTGAGAAGCACATTAGAGGGTTGTCTGTAGCTTGTCACCTTTTTATTATCTGTTTTGTGTCCCAAATATGCACTAATAGTGTAGGCAACCTTTTTATTTTAGCCAGAGTTGCACAATTCCTGCAATGGAGGTGTGCATATTTCAATGAGTGTGAAAATGGGAAACTTTTCTTGGGCTTTGTCCTGGGAAGGGAATGGTATCAAAATGGAGAAGACACCCGCCATGCACATTGACCGAGGGAGGTTCTTTTGGCACTTTGCCTTAATTGACAGCTCAGCATTTGACAGCTTCCAAAAGAAAGAAAAAACATGGATGATGTTTGCTTGTGAAAGGGATGGAGTGATTAATCCTTCTTAGCACTGAAATCATCAACACTTTTATGTTCCTAGTCCTAGATACTAAGGTCCTAGCGCTCCACATTTCCACTAGTTCCTAAGATTCTAGGCGCTCAGGAAAATGGAAAAGTGCAGCTCATCCCCACTTACTTGAGTATAGCAGTTTGATAGCTGTCAAAATTCTGGTTGCTTTCAAAAGGGTTTGTTTTTGTTTTTTTTACAGGGGACTCACAGTCTTTCCCCACAGGGACATATGCAAGTATGCATATGTTCTTATCCAAAAAACACTAGGAATCCTTTTAAAAGGCCATCAGATATGGGTTTCAAGACACTGGACTCAGTTCTAATTGAGGGGTGGGATAAGTATCCTTTCCTATTCTTTTCTTTCTCTCTAGCTATAGATAGGATTCCCTGAACAAGAAATTGGGGTCCCTCGGGGACAACAATGAAGGTATTCTGTAGTGTTCCTGAAACAGATGCATGGTTGGAAAATGCCACAGGATCAGATTAAGAGATCAGACTACAGTCTTTCTTACCCTTGGGCAGAATGACATAGTTGCCTAAAGCAAAGCATGCAGGTGAGGTGGGCAGACAGGGAGGTGGTTGGGTGTTGGAGGAGAAAGCTTTGTGTGCCCCTTGGCCTGCCCTCACCCTAAGTGGTGCCATTAGTTGCAGTGGATGTTGCTGTGCCATTACCAGTGTTGGAGTAACATTCAACTATTTGGTTGGCTGCTGTACATAAGATGAAGATGGCTGCCATCTTGTCCTTCAGTTCAGGCAGCAAATTGTCTTGGGCTGGCCCTCTGCCCAGACATTTGTTAGGTACCTTTGCAGCCTCCTGTTCTCCTGTCATTCCCCTTCATTCTCAACCTTTACTCAGGGCGCAATCCAATACATCCCACCCTCAATGATGGGATGCCTCTGAACTCAGAGGCTTATATGCACCCAGTGCATGGAGTACAATGGAGGTGATCTTCACTGTCACCTTGCCTCATGCCCTGCATCTAGTTGACCATCTAGAGGAAGCAACGTGGCAGCTGAGGAGGAGGAGGCTGGGGCACTGCCTGGATAAGATATAAACTATCCAACCTCCACCTACATGCCCCTTTCTCTTCTATCCAAGACCAGGTTGCAGCCTTAAAGACACGGCAGGGACAGTTCTTCCCACATGGCTGTGAATGAGCTCCTACAGGGGCTTCTCCTTCAGTTCTATCACACAGGTTGCAGGGCCTCCAAGCTGGGACTCAAGATAATTCCATGGCCCCGAGACTATGTCAGGAATCCATGGGATCTCATCCTCAATTATACCATGTACACTCACAAAAAAATTAACCTGCAAGTTCTAGTTTCAAACCATCTAGATGAGTAAATACTACCCCCAAAAGACCTTTCCCTAACCTTATTTTGCTGCCTGCACATCTTGATATGAAGCTTCTTTCATGAAAAGATGTAATAAAGAGATCCAATACTTTTGGAAAAGAAAAATACAGAGTTACACAATGCAAATGCTAAATCAAATATTGAAATCGCTTCATTTTTCAATGTATTTTGATTTCTAAAACTCTGTGGTAGTTAAAGGTCTTTTCAATATACTGGGTTTTATCCAAATTTAGACATGCAAAGAGTACATCCACTGAAATTAATGGGACTTAATTTAGCCATGACTAATTGATTTTATTGGGTCTACTCTCAATAAGACTAAATTTGGATCCAGCCCACGCATATAAAAGTTGTTACACATGAGGCCTTGTTGTACAGTGTTAGCATGACAAAAGTGAGATTTCTTCCTTCTCACATTCAGAACAACAGACGGTTGTTTGGCAAAAGCCCTTTATTATCCAATGTACATCCAGCCAACTATAACCCTCAGTTTCTGAGTGTGCAGAGTAGTTCATTGAAAACTAGGAACGCCTTCTGAGAACCCTTCTCCTGAGTAACCATAGACCTCTGGGAGTGCCCCTCTGGAACGCAGCAGGCCTCCCATTGTCTGCAGCCCCACTAGTTGGCTAGTCCTCCTCTCCCAGTGCCATGTCATGGAGTCAAAGGTCATGCCAGGTTGCTCTGACGCCTGTTCCACGCCCCCTCTTGGCACATGCAGACTCTGACTATTCCCAGGGTCCACCTGAGTACCTGGGGATGGCAGCCTTGAGAGTTGTTATTCCACCTTTGCTGTCTCTGCATCTGGGACTCTCATTTCCCAGGCTGTCTCCTCCCCAACCAAAGACTCCTCGTCACCCTGGCCCTGAAATATGCACCGAAACCAACTCCCTCTTTCATTGCCAACATAGTAGATGTGTTCCAAAACCCTTGCTTTGCAACCTTGGGCCATCAGTATTGTCTTAAAATTTCCTATTACCTATCTTCATGTCACATCAGATATTTTGTAAGATTTAGGCAAGAATATAGTGCTAGAAAAGATGCTAGGAGCCAGTGCTGGTTGCACACTTAGGGGATCATGGGACAAGATGCCCTTCCCTCTCCTTGCTGAGCCGCAATCACCCCATCCACGGGTATGCCTCCTCCTTCTGGAGCCAATCAGCATTACTGTCCCCGAACAGAAAACAAGGCAAACGGAGGTTTCTCCTCCTCTTCCTCCTCAGGTTTGTTATTGGTGCTGTCCTTGGTGAAGGCAGGTGAGCAAGCAGCAAAAGTAAGTTGTGGGCAAGGCCCAGGAGGTCAGCAGCAGAACAGCTGCTGAGAGGACATTAGCAGTGCCTGTGATGCTGACCCAACACCCTCTCTTTTCAGAGTACCTACAGTGTAGTGCCCCACTGGCGATCGATGCTTCAGATCAAACTGCACCCTTGGCCCCTGCGCTAGCCAATCCAGATTGCCTTGGAGAATTCGCTGTGGTGGCACAGCAGCCGTCAAAGCCAAACAACAGTGATAAATTTAACCTCCAGGGGTCAAGGCAGTTGGAATAACCTGCTGCACTTCCTGGCTCAGCACTCCTTCCGCTGCTGGGAGGATCAGCTTTCAGCCTTATTGGGGATTGTTGTGAAGGCAAACCTCCTTTCACTGGGCATAGTTATTTGGGCGTAAGTAAAACACAGAGAGCAAACTTGGGTGGCAACTTATCGTGAAAAATAATTGGAATCAGCAGCTGCTGGGGTAAGGTAGGTAGACAAGGTCTAAAACTCTCCGTTTGATTCATAGTGACACTCCTGGGGAACTCCCACTGACCTCTTTCTGCATATACTTTTTAACTACTGTTATTTATCATCTGCTGCAGGAAGCAGGCATTGTCACTAGCCATTGCAATGGCAAGTAGAGAACAGTATTTCTTGTTAGAGTAAATAAAAGATATAAATTGTCAGTTGTGACACAGGTCAATGAAAGCTTGGTCTCATGTTTCCACAGGCGTACAATCAAAACTACAAGTGCTATTTGGTTACAGCAAAACTCTGCAAGCTATTTTTGTGAAGCCTGGGGGACAATCTGCATTCTGAACAAGAAATAAGATGCTTTTGCCAACTATTGATAGGCAAATAAATGAGGAGGAATCATCCATAAAGTATGTTACTTTTTCAAGGGCCTTTTCATCTCTCTTTGCTGCCCTGTGCCTATTTCTCAAGAATAGCCAATATTACTTTTGTCAGTAATATCTGATAATGCCTCTTATCAAGAGACATTGAAATCTTTTTTAGGCTGCTATAATACTGGTTTTCAACTGGTTGACTGCAGTTCTATGTAAGTTGGATCAGGACAGGTATACCAAATGAATTGCTGCAATGCTATGGAAACCTGGATGGAAGACCACTGAAAGTCTCATGCAGAAATGTAATAAAAGAAATACATTAAATATTGGAAAAGGAAAAAGAGTCTAATTCAAAATACAGACAGTAAACGTGAAAATAATTTAGGCATAAGCTAAAGTTCTAGAAGTATTTGCACGTTACAATTCAAGATAGATTCTGAATTTAGAAACATTGGAAGTCCAATAAATACAAGGGAATCTTCTTTAAAATAAATTCAGAAGAGATGTAGGCTGCAATTCTGTACCCATTTACTTGACAACTTAGCACTGAACTCAGCTGGGCATACTTTGAATTAGTCGTGTACAGGACTATACTATGAGCTCACTGATGGAAGCTTTAGGAACCCACCATAAAATATTAAAGAAAGGAATGAGCTGTATTTATTTCCCATCTCCATCCTGTTTATTAACTGTAAGGCATTTAGGGTACAGGTTTAGACCAAACAAAAAAAGCATAGTTGAGGGCATGCTGAGAGTTGCTGGCCTTTCTATCCAAACCCATATAGAATTGTGCCTTTGCTTTTTTTTTTAATCCTAGAAGGTATTTTGTTGCAGCCTGGGGCTACATGAGCAAATGGCAAGAGAGCCCTGACATTAGTGTGACAGATAATCAAGATGTCACATGCAAGAGGAACCTGTGTACCTTAATTTGCATTCTGTTGAAAATGATTTTTAATTTATTGTCAAGAAGCAAGAGGCTAAAAACAATTACACAATACAGGTTATATTCACTCAAGTGTTTAGAAAGGGCACATTTACCCAGTCACCTAGACATAAAGAAATAACACTGCACACTATACAAGATTTCATTAGGAATTAATAGTTTCATGTACATATTTATAGACATTTACAGAAAGCATTCTTATGTAAGGAAATAAAAACATAACAATAAACTATAGAATGTCTCAATGGAAGAGCAGAAATCACTTGACTTGAACTATATAGTATTCCTATAAAACGTGACTTGCATAATAATTTTGGGGGCATAAGATATCATCGCCTTTTATATACAAAGGAACTTTTCAAAACTGTTCATTTTCAGTTGTTCATGTACTTGGATTTAGGACATTCAAAGGAATATGTTGTCAACCAATAAACAACTTTATTCTGATGCCTGGGTTCAGAAATGTCTTGGGCTAGTGAAAAGGTACTTGTTTAAGACAGCCTCTCCGAATTCCTCCAACTTCCTCTTCCCGCTGTTACTCCCATGACCCTATTCCATACTATTCCTAAGCAGTTAGGTTAATGGTAGTAACACTGCTAGCAGGATACACAGGGTATGCATTTGGACTGCAATCTATAAAAACAAGAGAGCGATTCACTCCTGGTGAGATAGGCAAAATAAAAAGATCCCCTTGATTTTAAAGGGAATGCTAAGCATGATGAGTAATCTTTTCTATTGAAATCAATGGGATGTCAAAGTGAACAGCTTTGGCTGGAATTCACTTGTATGTGTAAAACAGTGGTTGCAAGCTGCATACAACTGATTTCTTACAAACACCTGTCCTTGAAAGCATGTGCAGCTAAGTCAGTACCAAAGGGTATATATTGTGGGATGGAAGTAAAGTGATTGTCGGGATTAAAGGCACAAGTTTCGAATTTTCCTTGAATGTGGCTTGTTTTTCCCAGGTTAAATGTATTTTTTTCTGCTTACTCTGTGTATACACTAGGCAGACCTGGATATACTCACTGATACCACAGGGATGTGTAGCCAACTGTGTCAAACTACTTCATTTTCTCAACATTGCACCTCTGTAACAAAACTCACACCTCTGGGGCCTACTCTGAAAAGAGCTAACCACTATCTTGTGGTTCTGTGGCATTTTTATGACTCGTCAAGCTTTTCATGATACTCCTTTGCTGTGGGGATATTAGTGGACCGGCAGGATTGACTGGTTATTTCCAAACAGGTGCATTCATTTTCAAAAGTTTTGAGAAGAAATCTTGAAAATGATGCTTTTTATCAAGAACAAAGTGGCCTGTAATTTCTTAAGCCTGTCTTAGTGTACTAGGGATAACTATTAATGTGATGCTGTAATTCCTGTAGTATTGTTGGTCCATTTGAAGCAAGCATAGGAAATCTATTCATTCAATTGTAGTTAAGATACCAACCTATTCATACAATGTAGTTAAGATCACCCAGAGGTCATCCCAGGAACCAAATGTTCCAAACGTTCAAGCCCAGGGACCGAAAGAGAGTGCTATGGAAATGGTAGTCTGCTTTGTGGAGATAGAAAGCTGTCTTGAGCTCTAGGATAAGTAATAATCAAGAAATGTAGCAAGACAAGCATAGTTTAGTTGATCGAATGAATAATCTAACAAAAAAAACCCTTATCATTGATTAAAAGGGAATCTGATAGAGCGGTAGATTTAAAAAAAATATTTTTAATATAAAAATTTGCAAAACTATGGATGGAAGACATCATCTTAGAAGACACATTCCAGGCCTTTCACATAGTGTCTTTGATAGGAAGGATATGTGTGTGCCTCATATAAAAGCAAAAAACCTCCATCTTTAGGAATACTTTATATGCAAATATATGCCGATGTACACAAAACATCACACAATTAAGAGACTCTAATTTCTTTATGCATTTGGCAGCTCTGGTATGTATACATAATTGTTTTCAGTCCACAGTAAAACAGTTATGTAATTGTAATTTCAGTTTGACTGAACACACTAGGTTCACGGACATTAGTCTTCCTATGCTGGCTGGGAAAAGTAGCCATATCTTAACTATCCCAGCAGTAAATGCAACTGTCTTAAAAATTTTCCTAGAAGCATTATTGCTTCTAATTGTAGGGCACTGTTTAACTGTTGCCAAGCGTCTCTGTAGAAATGCTGTTAACTTATGACCCAGTTACTTCCATAGGAAAACCCAGAGTTCTAATAAAGTAAAAGATTCTGGCAGGTTCCCAATGAAAATTCTGGCTGTTACTCTTGATCAGAATAATTAATAGTTAAGGCCAACACTAAACCTTTTGCACTGCCACTTCATAAAAGCTAGCACTGCTGCAATTTTAATTACTACTTCTAGGATTACAGTCACAAACCCCGAAACTAGACTAAAATAAGCAGATCTGGAAAGTGTTGTCTGATGCATGGCTGGATTCTCAGGAGCCACTGTGCTGCCTGAAATCAAAGGACGCATGTGGTAGGATCCCAGCACTGCTACAAAGGGGCAACTTACCCACATTGCAGTAGGACCTGCCAGAAGTTAACATTTCCTCTGGTTTAGCAACAATTAACTAGTACAACTCTCTCCCTCCAATCTGGAACATTTCCAAACAGCATACTGGTAAAACAAAAGATTAAGATTGGCTTGTTCCATTGTAGAATCACCTATGGCCTTTTTGCTGCAGGTGATGAGATTAGGGAATTTAGTCTAAAAAGCCATCAATGGTATCATTTATATGGCATGTCTTTTGTAATCTTATAAAATACAGCAGGAAGGCCTCATAAGATACTTATAGATACTAACACTGAACATGTAATATGCCCACCAATTTTCCAGGGATGTCATCAGTAGGAAAATCTGGGCATCAAAAACCAGGAATCTGTCCTTTTGCTGGGCACATACATGCGGTTTACTTGCCCTACTCAAATCTGAAGATACATGCACCCCCAGATCTTACAGAAAGAATTCTGGAGCCACTTTTTATTATTATAGTTCATTTTAAAATGAACCTACTGTAGCCTCTGCATGCTGAAATCACAATTTAAAATCATAGTTTAAACCTATCCAAAATCCAGTGCTTTGGCCATAACATAGAATTCAAGAAGGAATCAGTGAAACCTCATCATGCTTGGTACTAGTGGAGGGTTTCGTTTGTACTTATTCTACATCTGTCTCTAAGAGACAATTTGAAACAGACGAAATGTAAATACAATAACATTAGTTGTGATATAGCCTAAAAGTGACAGTGCACGGTCACTTCTAGATGTATGTAACTATGGTATCTTTCAGTATGTGCATTAAAGATAGGGTTTTTTCTTTTTAGATGTGTGAAAAATAAATGTTTCATGCAACTGCAGATTTCTGTGTTAATGTCTACAGGAAGTGTAAACTACTGAGAAAAAGGACCTTGGTTGTTATGGTTAAAATAAAGGCTTTAAAGAAGCATATTTAAATAAATAATGAGCTTCAGTTTTCTTTTCATATTGGACTTCACAGGAAATAACACTTTCCCAATAAACATGGTCTCAGCCTATGTAGGAACATTAGATCTAGCTTGTTATTTTCTTTCTCAAGACAACACAACCCATCCCTCAAATAGCAATGTTGCTTTGCTTTGTAATCAAATGGGGCAGCCTACTAACAAAACAGAAGTTGTTGCATACCAAAAGAGAATGCAAGGTATGCCGAAGTACAAAACCGCTAAACACTGTATATTTAAAAAGCAAACAAAATTCATTGGAGGGATTGTTAGATCCTTGCTTGTCGTTGGCTTGCCTTTGGAAGTGTTGCTGCTCTTCTGGGCAGAGGTCAAAACCATCCCTGTGCTGAGAGAGGGATGCAACACTGAAAGGCAAAAGGGGTGGGAATTGGCTTGTCCAGTGATGGCCCACACAGAGTTCAGCCCCCTGCCTCAAAATGAAGTAATGGTACTCTAGTATGAAGGAATGCCAAAGTAGGAAGGCTTCAGTCTTTTCAGTAAGCAGATTTTCAGGCTGCTGCTGGGAAAAAAGGCAGGGTCAGAGATCTGTCATCTTCGGTTAAATATTCAAAAATAAGAAGGTCTAGTTATGCTGTTTGAACCTTATAAAATTCATCTCAGGATTCCAAATCTGTGAACCTAGTAGTAGTATTATCTGGTGATCCAGTTGTTGAAAATACATTACAAATAAAGATACTCTTGAAAATTGCTGCCAGGAGCTGATGCACATTGTGTTGATACAATAATCTCCACTTTCCATGGACCAGCGCATGGAAGCATGGGCAAGTCTTATGAATACAATATTAAGTCCAGCCAAAAGTAGTGTTGACCTGTCACATGCAAGCTGCTTTCTAGATTCTTCCTCTCCACAATGATACTGCTTTAGAAGAGAAAATGCAGCAGGTAGGAGTGCATTTCAGCTGAGTTCTCACTCCCTAGTACACAGCTACAAAATATAGATATGTTTAAGCAGGCGATTACAGGATTAATGATGAGAAGAATTTCATTTTTGCTGTGCAACAACAAAAATACACATGGGGACATGTTTTGTTTTGTTTATATCCTTTTAAAAGTCCAAAAAGATTTTAGAAGAAACAGAACCAAAAATCACATACATGGGCTAGTTAACGCAAGTTTTCCAGAAAGCAGATAACCAAAGCTTGTATATCAAAGCAGGTAGACTAGGAATGAGCTTTTTCATATGCCAAACTAAATATTCAGGAAGAACCTGGACAGCCACCTGAGTGGGATGGTGTAACTTGGTGTCCTGCAACAGCGGGGGGATGGACCCGATGGCCTTCATGGCCCTTTCCAACTCTACCATTCTATGATTCTGTGATATAGGGAGTTCTCATACACAGGTTTCCTTTAATACTGAAATTTGGTTTGTTGTGCTAGTGCAGCAACTGCTTCAAAGAAGTTGAAGCTATAAAACCAAGGATTTATTGTTCAAGCCAAGCCTTTAAACAAGGGTGCAAAAACTTGGACGCACAAGACAATTTCTTCCTTCCTGGGATTTCAATCTGTCCCCTCAAAGATCCTACCACCTCTCCCCTGGATGGTTTCCGGGTAAAAACAAAAAAATCCAGCTAATATATCCATTTCTGAATCCTCCCCTACCGCAAACATTTCAAGTTAGTCTTAATACATCCTGCTCCAGTTTGCACATAATTGTTCAGCCGAGCCATTTCTGAAGTTATTGAAATACCAAGACAACTAATGGTGTTTCTCTCCATGGATCTGAAAAACCACTGCAATGTGACCTTCTGTTCTACTGCATATTAACTGAAGTACCTTATTACTGTAAAACAGATTTGTCATCCACACCAAGGCTTTAATACTGCAAGAATTCCTATATGTATTTACCTGGAAGTAAGCCCCATTGTACTCCACAGGACTTAATACAGTGGAGGTTTTCATAGGTAGAGGGGGGCACTGATTTTTATTTTTCCCCTCCAGCCCCCAAAAAAATTGTTCCAGAGGCCCAGAAAGCTATAGAAGAAATTCATGAAAATCACCTTTATCTCCATTTTGCTGGCAAACTCCATCTGGATCAAACTGTCCTCTGTCAGCAGGCCCACAATCAGTGAGTTATTTTAAGCCCATTGTTTCTGATGCAATTAAGTGTACTTTGCACAAAAATAAGCTAACATGCTTAAAGTTCTCAATGTTAACAAAGGATTTTGCTGGATTCTTTAAAAATCAATAATTTTAGAATCAATCTTAAGTATTAAGAGCAAATCAAATCTTAAATCAAAAATCAATATCTTCAATATTTCCATTCTACTACTGTTCTTGAACAGAGTTCTTAATTCTAACTGCTCAGAATTTGTAAGCCAATCTTTATTAGATTCATATGCCACCTTTTTTTCTTTTAAAGAACTCAAAGTGGCTTACATCATTATCCTGATGCTGCTCTCAATCCTATCCCCACAGCAACAACCATGCAGGTAGGGTGGCATGAGAGTCTGAGAGTGGCCCAAAGTCACCCAGTTGGCTCCATGGCTGAGCGGGGACTCGAACCCGGATCGCCTGAGTCCCAGTCCCATGCTCTTAACCACTACACCACACTGGCTCATTTAATAATGGTAAAACAAAAACAAAAATAGCAGAGTCACATTATAAAAACAGAAGAAGAACACAAGAATGCTGTGTGGTGTTCAGGAAGAACCTTCTCCTTCGGAAGCAGTGTGCAGGGCCCTGCCCTCCTTCTGGATGCCCAGGTGATGGTGTCCTTGGGTGCTTTTTGCCAATTCCAGCTGGTGCATAAGTTGCATCCTCTTCCAGAGAAGCTGAACATGGTCTCCAGATTCCATTCTGCCATCGTCAGCGTATTCTGGACTGCCTTTGAATTCAATACAGAAACTTCCAAGAAGTCAGGAATGTGGCCCCAGGGCTTTTCCTGAAACCAGCAGAGTGCCTTGTATAATTCTAGCACTTGATCAAATTTGCTGTCTGTCAGTCTGTTTCTGGACTGAATTCAAGATCCTGGCTTTTTAAAGCCCTAAATATGAGTACAGAACATTTTTGGATCCAAGGTAATGCTGGTCAGGGACTACACATATATTTATGCATACACATGCAAAAACTCATCACAGCAATCTGCATACAGATTATTTTTCTAGCTACTAGCAAAAATTTGAATGCAGAAATTGGCGGGGTGGGAGAGAGTATTTGCTGGCAACAAGGGGGCACAGCTAAGTCCCTGCACTAAATAGCCTGGGACCAAGAACTGTTCCTCCTCTTGCAACTCTGCCAGGAACTTTGTGTTACCTTCTTTCTACCCTGGATGTGCAATTGGTGAGTAGTATGTTCAGTGAATGAGGAACACGGGGGGGGGGGGGGGGCAGGGGGCCAGAAGTTACCATGAACATTCCTGCTGGTTCCAAACAACAAGCAACAAGCAGCCAGATGCATATAACTTCAGTGCTAATGTTCTTCTAGAAAGGCAGAATATCAAAATGATAACTGGCCCTCATGAATGTCCAATATGTGCATGTCTATGTCTGGTATACTGTAGTGAACTGAAGATTAAAAAACCTATTTCCTAGCTTTACAAATGTCCATACTGAGCACATGTTACAGTAGTAAAAGCACTTCAGCCAATCCAACCCTCAAAGTTCTGCCAATGCCTTATCTAAAGGAAAGTAATCAGGCTTCAAGTGCCTGGGTTCTTTAAAATACTGTGGGGTCAGTGGCAAGAAACTGAAGTCTCCTTTGTTAATTTCTGCCAGAATGTAATCATTTCCTCCGGAGATATCCCATGCACTGCAATCAAGTGCTTGTACTTGCAAACATCAAAGTTAATTTGATATAAAAAGAACAGTTCTGGATCAGCAGGAATAGTGATGTTCACACCAAGTATTTTTAAACATATACCAACATAGGCATCTTCAAATTTTATAGGTTTGACATGGCTCATCATTTCATAAACTTTGCGTGCCAATCTCATATCAAGGACATAACCGAATCCACTGAGGTATGGAGGATACACCTTGAATGGATATTCATCATAAGAAATAAAGTTTTTTGTGTAAAATCCTCTGTACACTTGGTTTTCTATTAAAGGGTAGCCAGTAATTAAGTTTTCTGAGGCATTTGAATTCAGCAGCAACTTTACTAAGTTGCCCACATTGATGAAAACATCCGCATCTGTCTCCATAACATACCGAGCATTGGAACAAAATTCTGTAAGCCACCTGAATGCCATTATGGTCTTCAAGGTAAGATTATCATAACTGTCAACAAAATCTTGTTGAATAATGTCTCCATAAAGAATGCTTTCATCTTCTATGGATAAGGCTTCAGTAACAGTGTCCTCTGTTCCTTTGCCCACTAAAAACAATGTCAGAACTTGGTTCCCCCACCAAGATTTCTGAGAGCCCCATGTTATCCGAATGGCTTGTCTTGCCTTTACATCCACCAGTGCTGAAGACACCAAGAGAACCAGAAATGGATTGTGGCCTTCACATTTTAATTGCTCGGGTAGTGTGAAGAGGAAGTTCTGCTTGTGGGCTGCTTCATAGTCATAAAAATACGCCCAATCTTTAGAGTCTATCACAATGTGGGAGGGGAATGCTATATAGCATATCATTAATATGGTACAGATAAGTGTCAGACCAAAACACACTTTCAGGAATCTCATAGACATAATCTTCAAATTCATCCACAAAGAGAAGAGGAAATTCCAGACACTGCTTTCAAGCAAATACTGATATGTGAAGGGCAGAACTGGATAATAAACTCTTCACTGAAAAAGACAATGTTAGCATGTAGAGAAAATGTTTATACCTGAAACTTGCTGCTAAAAGTATGCCATCAAAAACACTTTATTTTGCTATCATACGAAAACAATGTACAAAATTACACCTGACCATGGGCCAAGCCACATTTAATTATGGTCCATACAGCATATAATATGGTATGCCACGCCTAAATTCTACACATGTATGTGTACTTTCATTACGCAGGATTCAATAAGCATGCACAAACCTAAACAGGGCTGATTCTCATTCCTGTCTGTACAAATAACTTAAACACTAGGCTGAAGCATAAAACATCCCTTGGCTTGTTTGTACTATTGGTATCAGTTATTAAGACTCCCTGTGATGGTACAGAAAGCTGCAAACTCAAATGTTGTTTACATCTTCACAAACGGGCAAGAGGTTTGACACAACAGCAAGAATGCCGAATTTATACCACACTGACACAAGTAAACAAACTGCCTGAGAGTGACCGCAACTTCATCATGTAGGATCTGGAGATGGATAAAATAAATGCAGAAGGCAATGCAGAAGAAAGACGGATAAAAATGCAGAAGGGCTGGCAGAAGGCAAGCCTTTCTTCTGTGCCTCAATGGCCTGATTCTTAAAGAGGTTATTATGCAGCAGGGATGGCATTATAGTCTCAGTGCCTTTGCTAAATCTCTGTCTCTGGGCAAATGAACTGCTCCTTTTCAGACATGCTTTACTATGCCACCTGATTCATAATAAAGTGGGCAAGGTAAGTCAAACATGGTTTAAGCAGCCTGTACTCCCAGTTATAGTTGTACAGTTGCAGAAGAGGTCTGTTTCCATGTACGTTACCTACTCCAATTCACTGCTCCTTTTGACAGCTAAAACATACAAGGAAACTGACTGGGAAAGGCTACAGCCTCAAAGCAAAAGACCAACTGACAAAATAAAATAAAAAATTTACAAATACAGTTGTGCAGTTTTCTGGGGTTGAAAAAAAAATATGACCCCAGTTTTGCATTTCTGAAGCTCTGAAAGTAGTATCAACACAAGAGCAGCAGCAGCAGATAAAAAGGGGCAACTACCAGAGCAGGGAGAGAAAGATAAAACAGGTTCTGTCTCAAAGGACACCAGGATACTAAGCTGGAAAAACAACAGGGAAGGAGAGAAGGCACAGTCAGGCCAACTGTCTGTCGTGCAAACTGCACTGTGTAGCTTATTTGCAGGGCGGATTAGCACTATGCATGAAGAAGACCATATAAAAAGATACAACACATGGGCAAAATTGTAACAGATACATTTGAACATGTTTTCCACTATGAAATGATAAACATATCCAGAATCCAAAAAAACTGAAGCATGGGAAAACCTTTAAATTTGCCTTTCAAAATGAAAGCCGTGTACTAATTTGCATCTCCGTTAACAAAACACAGCTGATTCCTCAGATTTTGCTGTTTTTGAGTGATTTAAGAAAAACTGCAGATGCATGAAGTTATTACTGCAGTGAGTTTCATCAGAAGCAGCATTAGACTTCAGCCATCAGGTAAATGTGTAGTTAAAATCACTGAGACGTAAGCATACTTTTACGTGGGAGAACATGGTTTGCAGAGTGGGTTATGGGTTGCAGTTTGGGCACATGGTCTATAAAAGGTTCACCATCACTGGGTGAGGGTTATTAAAATGAGGTGTCCCGGTATGATTTTGATGGTTGGAATGTGTTTAGAATGGGCAGAAATGTTGAGCAGTGCAGGAAAAGCTGCTCAAGGAAGGCCTTTTCAAAATCACCCCTTTCAAGGGTATTTTACCCCTATATTAGGGTTAGGGGAATGCACCAGTGTAGGGTTAGGCCAGTGGTGGCAAAGCTATGGCACACGCGCCACAGAGGGCACACAGAGCCCTCTCTGTCGCCATGTGAGCCAAGTCACCCCAGCATCGCCCCAGCAGCAGAGCATCGGATAACAGCGCACATAGGGGCCATGCGCATGCTTGGAAAGGAGAAGTGGTGCCAGGCGACGACGTCACAAGCCGCGATTCATTAGCTGTGACTTGTCCCAACTTTTGCATGGCCAGTGTGCTGTCAAGTATATATATATATTTGCTTGGACTGGCTGTGAGGTGTTTTTTCTAAACTAAAACCTCAGTTTTCAGGTTTTATTGTAGTGTTGGCACTTTGCGATAAATAAGTGGGTTTTGGGTTGCAGTTTAGGCACTTGGTCTGTGAAAGGTTTGCCGTCACTGGTTTAGGACCTTTGGGAAAATAAAGGATTTTTTTAGTTTGGCCACTAGAGGGCAATGCTTTCATCTTTTTTACAGAGCAGAGAAAACCAATGCAAAAAGCAGACTTGAGTATTGTGTGTAAAGAAACATAAAAACCAAACAAAATCTAGTAGCAGTTCAAAGATTTAGAATACAGTAAGCTTTTTTAAAAACTGAAAGAAACTGAACGACTAAAATATCTGCGAAAATCAGAAGTATGTCTGGGTGCTAAAACGTTATGAGAGCTGACCAACATCTAATTCAGCCTAAGAATCTAAGGCAGCTTGAAAAGCATTCTGTGGCGCACATGGGGAGCTACGTTATACCATGGCAAACCATCCAGGCTTGCACTGGCAGCACTGACAATCCTTAAAATGGGTCACAGTTACTGCTCATAATACTGTGCTGGGATTTATGTTCACTGGTTCAATGTCTCAGTCATCTACAGAGCTGAAGTGCAAGGAAATGATGAATACTATGGATGGCCGAGTTGTTCCACAGACTTAAAAGTCGTCATAATCTTACTCAACTCCAGCCTGGTGCTAAAGGAATTTTTAACCCTAGACCTCAGGGAATCTGAAGTAAATGAAGCCCAGTGGACAAGTCAGCATTAAATTAATAATCAAGAAAAAGTCAAAAAAGGGCCAGTTGGCACAATGCTTTAGTGTGATAATTAGATAATTCCAGAGGTCCACTGATATCCTTCAGTGTATGAGCAAATTGAAGCAACAACTTATATCCCACCCTACAAAAGAAACTTCCCTATTCAGAAAAAGCAAGCAATGATGGAGAATACCACCTGCTTTCTGAAGAAGGAATTTGCTGCCCTCTGCTGCAGTTACAATACATTCAGTTCTACACTCAGCGAGTTGTTTTAAAATGGCAAACTTTGACTTTTGCAAGCTCCTTGAATCAATAGTTAATTGCTGCCATTATCTATGGGTTTCCTTATGCTCCTGTGGACTGAGCGCCACAATCCAGCTCTCGTATTTGTTTACAGCGGTTTTTATCCTGGGCTTCAGGCTGTTGTCTCCCAAAGTTGTTCACATCAATTAAGGAGGCAGGAGATATAGACATCTGGAGAACAGGAGGCTGGGGAAGATGGATATTCATAGTTTCAGATTGTGCAGAAGATGTTACACATTTATTATTTTATTAAAACATTTCTATGCAGCCCCATTTGCCGAAGCCTCGGGGCGGCTCACAACATTAAGTTAAAATACAAACATTAAGTTAAAACATTAACTTAACATAACATTAAGTTAAAATGTTTGTAAAATACAAACATTAAGTTAAAATACAAAAAATAACAATATAAAATAAGTCGCCCTGGCCAGACACATCCACCCCCCATACATGTCCTAAATCAGCTTCAGCTCCCAACTTTCTGGAACAGAGTTTGGGGTGCATGGAAAGCTGCTGCAGGGTAGACACCACTAGATACAGCAAGATAGATACTGTGGAACGTCTATACCGTCATGTTTTAAATAGTAAAATCTGAGATGGAGGTTATATTCTCAAGGATAGGATTTAGAATCAATCTTGTCTAAGCTCAAAGATATACATCAGCCCTAAGCCTTTGGTGTGATTTAATCTCATTGGAATTTTTGAGGAGTTAAGACTGAGCTCAAAATTAGGGGAGAGCAGACAGTGAAGTAATGTTTGTTGACAGTGAAGTAATGGAAAAATGAATAAATGCACTCTGATGTTTTGGGTATGTGAAATTCTCTACCATCTCAGAAATTTACCGAGAAGAAATGCTTCTATTTTGAGGTCATGGTTTACTGGGCATATATAGATATAATCAAAATAAAAAATTGCTGTAAAGGATTTTCCCTTACTGATTCTGGCTGGAACATGCTGGGAGATACAGACCTCTTTTCTGGCTAAACTTGCATAGGATTGCACCCTAAATCAGGATAGTGGAGCCATTAACTTGATGACAGTCAGCCGAAGTAAACTCCATGACACTGCATAAGTGTATTTGATTGCATCCATCCCATATTACATTTGTCCCTCTTCTCTCCTTCTGTTCTGTCCTGCATTGTTGAAAGTTTGATTGCAAGATCCTTCATTTGTTAAATTTATATCCCTCTTTTCCTTCAGAGAGCCCAAGGCAGCACACACAATTATTTTTCTTATTACAATGCATTTACATCCCAGTCTTTCCTCCTCTTGCAAGGAACACAAGGCAGCTCACAAGCTTTATTTATTTATTTAGCTTTTCTATCCTGTCCCGTACAAATGTCTTGGACACTTACAATAGATAAGCTTCTTTTTCTCTCCATTTTATCGTCACAACAACCCTTTGACACAGGTTAGGACGAGTGGCTCAAAGTCACCAAGTGAGTTTCATGAACAAGCAGGGATTTGAGCCTGAGTCGCCCCTGCACCAGTCTTACGCTCTAACCACCACACCATGCGGGCAGGAATCTTATGCTGCTCTGAAAATGCTAGGATCATGGATGGTGCTGAAAGCACATCACTCAAATGCTTTTGGCCAATGTCAGGAGCAGCAGAAACCGAGCAGGCTGAGCCCTCAACGGACCCCGCCGTTGCCGCCCCCCACCCGCCACCGAAGGCTTTACATTGGACATGGGTGTAAGAAAAAGGGGAATTTTTCAAGTAGCCAAACAATTGTGAAGTGATGTTCAGAATCTTACTAGGTTTTAAAACATACAGGGCTTTTAATCTTCACCCCGCTTTCTTGCTAGTGCTTTCATTAACTTGCTTAAGAATAATGAATAAAATAGTATGGCAATCCAACAACAAGAGAGAAATTATTTAGCAGCTCAACTACACCTGCGATTTCAGTGTTCCTACAGTCTAGCCATGAATATTTTTCTAGCAAACCATCTCATTTTCTGTAAACCAATCAAGTCAGTCAAAATACTGTGATGTTTTAGTTCTCTCAGAATTGGATGGCATTTAAAATTTCTTCAGGAAGGGTACAACAGTTGCATTGATGGAAAAGGTTTCCATGTACACCAAGGCTTTTCCAGTCTTAAAAATGTGGGGATGAGGGGAAATGCAATTGCAACAAATAATGGCTGAAATCTATAGCCAATAATATTACGACCAACATGGAATTTCAACCAGCTGTATATTAAGCATGCAATCACAACTCACACTTATTTGGGAGTGCAATTTGGGACCCAATGAACTTGGCAGAATTTGCTTTCAAGAAAATACATACAGGCTTAAAGAACATCCCAGGTGAAAGAAGTTACCATATTTTTCGCTCTATAAGACGCACCTGACCATAAGATGCACCTAGTTTTTAGAGGGATCCATGGAAACCTTCCTGATAATCACAGGCACATTCCCCATCACTTCCCCATGGGCTTCATTAAAAGACGGGTTGCCATTTGAAAACACACACCGACCTGTGATTAACAGCTCTCACCTGCCCCGGAGGAGGGTGGCAGAGCAGGGCACACCAAGCGTGTGCCGGCCAGGTGTGGTGCAGCCGGGCTGGCAGCGTGCTGGCGGTGGTCTTCCAGGCGGCGCAGCAATGGCAGGTCTTCCCGGGCGGTGGGGGTGAGCACTCTGTCTCTCCGTGCGGCCGGCGAGTTAAAGCCCGCGGCTGCTCCTCCACACCACTCCCCCTGAGCAGCACAGCCCTCACCTGCACCGGAGGGGGGGTGGAGCAGCGCCCGCCGAGCGCATGCTGGCCAGGTGGTGCCACGTGGTGCAGGCAGGCCGGCAGCGTCCCGGGCGTCGGGCACACACACATTTGCTCTATAAGACGCACAGACATTTCCCCTTACTTTTGAGGAGGAAAAAAGTGCGTCTTATAGAGTGAAAAATATGGTAATTCAATTTCAGTCTACAAGTGAAGAGAGTGAAAGAGATGAATCAACCGAGCTGTTCGAGCTGCCAGCTGAACAGGGGAAATACCAGCTTTTGTGTGCTCTGTTCAGTCTAATGAGCAGAAATCAGCAAGTGTAGGTTTTAATAGCCTGAAGGCAGGCTAGGAACCTTTCATGTGTGTGAGTGCAGAGGCCCAAATTCTCTTAGACTAACAATAAAAGCCAAAATTGGGTGAAGCAACTCTTTCTATTCCCATACCCTTACTGCCTAGTAGATTGCAAGGGGCAGATCTTTCTTGCCAGAAGTCTAAATTTATTACTTGCAGTGCGCTTTTGAATTTATGTTCCCGGGCAGTGGTGTAGCAGAGCCAAGGCTCACAAGGATAAGCTGCCTACCAACACCTTATTTACTACCCACTTTTAGGATTTCCTGTACCCTTTGAGCTTGGCTTATTTATTTTTATTTATTTAAAGTTTTTAATATGACATCCCCTTGCTATATAGCCTCAGGATGGCTCACACAAATAAATATAATACAAATACAGTTAAAACTCTTCAATCTTCACTATGCCTGAAGGAAAATGAATTTTTCCAGCAGCAGTATACCTTCCCCTAATGTAATACAAAATATTTCACAGTAGCTTGGTTTTGAATGGGCAATTAAAACCCATTAGCTTTTACAAGAGGTCTGCTCCAGGGTGATGGGATTGGCTAAGCTAGAAATGGTTTCTTATGGATCAATACAACTTCTCTGGTGGTGTGGCTGCTTGTACTCCGATAACCCTGAAAATCTGCCAGAACATCACTGTTCTTTATCTGTAGCCATCCACTCACCAAGGTACTCTTAAAGGCAAAGAGGTCTGGAAGTGAAAGATGACATTCAAGGAAGGAAGGTTCTACCCTTTGGGGAAAAGTCCCTGGGGACAATGGAGGGAATAGCAGGGAACAAACACTTTAACCAAAGACCAACCAGGAATAGGATAGGGCAGAACATAAACTGCAGTTGTGAAAATGAAGAGTCCCAAGCAGTAAAAGCTACTCTTCAACACACACATGATGGCTTATGCTCATCATTTCCAAGGTAGAGGCTATGGAACCTAATCCAACTCCTTTGTCAGGACTATACTGAAAACTCATTTATGGCACTTGAGCCTATTATCTGTGGCTCACTGTAGAACAGGGATGTCCAACCTTTTGGCTTCTCTGGGCCACACAGGAAGAAAAATTGCCTTGGGGTACACATTAAAAACACAAACATTAATAAAATCTGATGAGCAAAAAAGTCTGTGCATATTTTTCGTGATATCTGCCACCACAGATAAGCAAAAAAGTCCTCACATAAGAATCCTAATTATACAGCACCCCATTTAGACAGTCTTTTAAAATCGTTGAGCAGGTCCCAAGTTTGTGATCAATAATATAGAAAATGAACATATCTAAGTAATAAAACTTCACTGATTTTTTTTTTGATATTTTTATCAAGTAAAAGAAAAGAGAGCAACATAAAAGTAGTGGGATATTTGACATTGCATTTGAAAAACTAATGTGTCAGTATCTGGTTGGATGGAAGTACTTGCAATTATCAGTGATTTCCCAAGGTGCTGATCAGATATTTTGGTTCTCATTTTACTCTTAGTGTGTTTCATTTTTTGAAAATAGTTACTCACAAATGTAGGTGCTGCCAAAAAGTGAAGGCATGAATAAGACATGATTGTGAAGCGAGGGGTATTTGTCTGAGAAGCTAGGACCTATAAAAGTTCATGATCAATTATTTAAGTTGAATGTCAGATTGCAGCTCTATGCATCCCATTTGAAAATTGGCAGGTAACATATTTATGTTGACTGAAAATGGAGTCACAAATATACCAAAAAAGTGATTATTTTCCCGGAAATCTTGAAATCTGTTTTCAAATTCTTGCATCAAATCGAAAAGCATTCTGCATATTTTTCACTGTTCACAGGACTGTGTTTAGCCAATGTGTCAAAATGTATAAAATTGTCTGCAACAGTAGTTTTAAATATTGATAATAGCATTTCACTTGCCAAGTCACCAGGAACACATGTAATGTCTGATGGTGTCAATTTGACTGTCTGTGCTTAGAAAATAACACACGGGAAGCCACACACCGCCTTAAAACTGAAGGCATGCATGTGTACAAGCAGCATACGTATGTTTATTTTACGGAACATTACAATGCTACATTGTCATCTACAAAGTTCACACTTCAGAACTGTGCAATCTTCTTACAAAAAAATCAAAAAACTACTCATAATGTTTTAAGTAAGTGTACAATTTTCTGTTGGGCCACATTCATAGCTATCCTGGGCCGCATGTGGTCCATGGGCTGTGGGTTGGACACCCCTGCTATAAAGAATGTGATAGATGCATGTTGAAAACAGGAAACATTGATAGTTAAAAAAATATCAGCACCATCTAAGATTTCATCATCGCCATAAGGGAGTGCTGAAACTACACATTAGGGGGATCGGGAAGAAGCTAGCTCTAAAACTTACTTGAGTTGCTACCTTTTCTTTCACATGGAGCAGTAAGGCTCAAGTCACATCCAAGGTGTCATTGGGAGTCAAAGCGTTTTATTTATTTATTTATTTATTTATTTTTCAGTTTATATCCTGCCTTTTTACAAAGGGCTCAAGGCAGCTTACATCTCCTCCTCCATCTTATGACAGTTAGAGCCTAGATCAGTATAAAGCGAGGACAACAATCAACCTATAAGCCAACAACGTCCAGAGTGCTGGTGCTTCCCTTTAAGGACAAGGTTTGGATACTAGGCAACCAAAGGAAGACCTTCTCTCACATCAAACAGCCCATGCAGTTAACTCATCTGTGGAAGCCTCCCTCTGGCTACCCTTGCTGTCTGAGAGAAAGCAAACAATAAGGGCCTTCTTGGTTTTGGTACCCCACTTCCCAGAGGCTATCTCACTCTTTTATTATTTATTTATTTATTTAGAATGTTTGTATGCCGTCCCATCGCTTATAGCCTCAGGATGGCTCACATAAATAAAAAATTAACATAATACAAATACAATTAAAACCCAGAAACACCCTGGCTGCACAATTAAAACCTATAGATATTTTCTAGCATTGTTAAAATATCTTTTAAATAAAAAGGTCTTAGCCTGGCACCGAAAAACAAATAAAAACAGAGCCAGGCAGACCTCTCTGGGGAGCGCATTCCACAGATGGGGCGCCACCACAGAGAAAGCCCTCCTCCAGGTACATTGCCTCCTGATGTCTCTCACGGAGGAGAGCTTCTAGCACAAGACAAATACCTTCTAGTGTTCCCAGTGGTATGCTTCTGTCTCCTATGTCAAATAGTTGAGTTCAGCTTTCACAGCAAATCAAAAGATGTACAAACACAGATCTACTCATTAGTTCAACTAGTCTGTCTGGGAAGAAAGCATATCTAACTCAATTCAACATGAATAAAAAGTTAAATAATCTCTCCCTCACACACCCCTTTCTGTTGGCAATGGTAAATGAGGCTACCTTAAACCCAGAGCATGGCACTTACTGTTGACGCTAACGGACTGGTGTGCTAACATTTCAGACAGGATTCTTTTATAGGCGTATCTAGAGATGCCAGGGAATCAGCCTGGGAACTTCTGTGCCACAGAAGGAAGATTTTTAAAATTTATTTTTCAAAACACAACGATACAAAATTCCACTGTGGAATAGTTTTAAGTGTATTTGTTTACACATGCATTATTCAAGTTGGTTTATGAAGTAAATTACTTCAGTAAGTGCTTCTAATCATTATACTTTTATTCAGTTCCATAGTGCTCCTTAAGTTTGCGAGCATCAGGATTTCCTTAAGAACACAGAGCTTTCTAACGTTATTTTTAATCTCACCTAGAAATAATTCTAAGCATTACCACCAGCTAATGTAGTTCAGCAACACTCTGCCCAGGTGTAGACAAACTCTGATGCACCAAAGTCTTAATCCTGAAATCACGTGCAGAACTGACCTTAAATGTACACACAGGTGTATTAGACCTGTGTTTAAGTTAAGTGTTTAACTTAGACACACCTGTGTTTATATTCACAAGGAAACCAGTAAATGCTTTGCAGAAATTAATGATGCTTGAACAGCAGTATTTAACAAAAACATACTTTTCCTAGCCTGAAGCCTAATATCAGGGAAAATCTTCTAAACATGAGATAATACACTTTGAAATGGAGACATCCAGCTTTCAGTAAAGTCACACTTTTAAAATGGGTAGGGTCTTTAAAGGACTGGCACTTTTATCTCTAACTTAGGAAACTATTATTTTCTAAAACATTTAAAAGGGAAAAATGTGCTCAAATGTGAGCAAAGACACACTTGTACAAGCATGGATGTCAAAGGCATATAACGTTTGAGGTGGGGGGAAAACTTCCCCCATCCTACTAGGCTTAAAGGAAATTGCAACATATTTGCAACTAAAAGAATCATCCTAACTCTATTAAGACTTATTTCCAAGCAACTGTGTGCAGAGTTGCAGGCTAAAGCAAGAAGTAGGTGCTCCTTCTACTGAGAATCAGCTTCTTGGGTGCAATGTTGATGCGAGAAAAACTAGACCAAGTTTGTGCCTATGACAACTCACAGCAAAATACGTTTCCTTTTCATCCTTCCCTTTTCTCCTGTCCCAAAGAAGCCTAGGCTGCTTCCAAGGTCCTCCTCCTCTCCATTTTATCCTTGCAACAAGCCTACAAGGTAGGCTAGACTGAGACATTTATTTATTTATTTGGTGAAATAAATGGTCGGGTGAGGCCTCGAATCAAGGCTCCCGAGTGCTGGTCCAACACTCTAACCACTAGGCATTCTTATGCTATTGCTAACCTTCTCGCAGTGCCCTGAAATCTGTCTCTGGTTGCGGGGTTACTTCCTTTCACACCTGCCGGAAAAGATCTGAGATACTTCTTACTGCTTCTAAAACCAAACCAGATACGGGGAAACGAGAGTTCTTAAACACTCTGGATCGGCAAGGGCGCTACTTAAAGCCCACTCTCTTCCCGCAGCCCCAATCCTCCCGCGCGCCCGCTTCTGCTCCTGCGGGAACTCCCTTTCGCAAATTCGGCTCGCTCACCCACACCCACGAGGCCCCGTCTCTCTTCTCTTGCTCTGTCAACCAGAAGGATAAATTCTCGTGCGTTAGCCAGCACTTTCCAAGAGGCAAGCCATCAAGTGGAAAAAATGAGAGACTTAAGAAAGATCCTAGACCGGCCGTTCTTTCGCCGCAGACCGGATTTCCTGGAACATGGGTGCTTCTTTGCTTTCGTTTCAGTGAATTAATTTATTCATTTATTATACCCACCATGACCTTCTTTAGTTAAGGTTGCGGTTCCAAATAGGCGCTTAGGACTTAAATCTAACGCACTCAAGCAAGCTTACTTTTTGGGCGTAGAACTGGATGTCCGGAGAGAAGGCAACGACTGCTCCCCACAGGAGGCCGGGGCAGTGACTGTGAATTTGGTCTTCTCTCTGCAAGAGACGGAAGCAACTGTTTGCTCTTTTTAAAATATATATTTTTCTGGGCGGGGAGGAAAAACAGGAACCATGTGAAAACCGGAGCGGAAGAGCTGGAACGGCCCGTTAGTTTAAAAAGAAACAGAAGCTAAAAGCGATGCTGTGCGTTAGAGACGTTTGATGATAGGTTTTAGGGCTGAAACCTTTGCGATATTATATTGTTAACCGCATAATCTCCAGAATCAACCGTAATGAAACCAAACGATTCGGAATGATTCCAGTTTCTAAAGGAGCCAAGCCAACCTCAATTTTATTTATTTATTTAAAGTTTTTATATGCCGTCCCCATTGCTACACAGCCTCGGGACGGCTCACACACATTCACCAGCTGCATCTCACTGTATGTGGCAGTGAGAATGAACCACAAAATTTTCAGAGGAGCTCATTGCAGGCAATAGTCCATATTCCAGAAAACACTCTGGAAGAGCAACTTTCAGCTTAGCCAAACCAGCTAGGTCCATCTTGCACAAGTGGACACAGAGTTTCCACTGAAGCCACACACTTTGATTAGGCAATGGACGTGCGAGGTGGGGGGAGCTTCTTGAACCCTTTGCACATCTCCTGCTCTTGTTTCCTCCTGCAGGGGGACAGGCATGAATCCCCAGCGTCACCTTTGCAGCCAGTTGCCCAAAACGAGCCAGCAGTTGGTTCCAGTTTCCATCTGGGGTACCCAGCTTTGGGGTGCTTTCTTGCCTGCACCTGTTTACTGCAAAACAGCCCCTGAACCACGTGTTTGAGAAGGAAGCAATGCAATCTTTTCCTGCTTCAAGTGTTCTGCCATATGAAGGCAGAATGGTGATGCTACCTGAGATACATTTTCAGCATGAAAACTTCAGGCAGTTGAAAGGTTGTGGGCACTGGTCAGCTGCACATTGGATCTGTTGTCCTAACAGTCTGGAAACTTCCTGATGCTCACCTGGAATTTGGCTTCCTGCAATTTTAGCCCATTATTCCAAGATATCCTGTCTTTCCTTTGTGTGACAACTTTTCAAGTATTTGAAAAGTGCTATTGTATCTCCCTGCAGTTCTTGTCCAGGCAAAATATGCTCAGTTCTTGCATTATCTCCTTATATGCCTTTGTTTCTAGTCCCTGAATCATCTTTCTTGTCCTTCTCTGAACTGTTTTCAATTTGTCTGTACCATTCTTGATATGTGGTGCCCAGAACTGAAGATAGTACTCAAGATTGGGCCTAACTAGTGCTGAGTATTATTTAATTTTATTTTATTTATCTGAGTGGGATGATGTAAATTGGTGACCTGCAACAGTAGGGGGTTGGACCTGATGGACTTCATGGCCCCTTCCATCTATACTATTCTATGATTCTACAATTTATAGTACATTGAAAGCATTTATATACCATTTTATTAGCATAAAACTACCAAAATTGTTTATACAATGAGTAGAGGGGAATTAGTAATCCATGTGCTTTAGAAGTGATGCTTCTTAATGCAGCCCAAAATAGCATTTGCCTTTTTCTCAGCTGCATCACAAATAGGAAGGAGGCTGAGGCACCACCAGGATAACTTACATCCAGGCACTGGTCTTTTCCCCTCCTTGCCTGTTTAGCCTCTTTTCTGAGATTGCATTTGTTTCTTTTCTTCATGCCACATAGGCTATGTGGTGGTAAAGTGTTGGATTAGGATTCTAGTCACCACTCAGCCATGAAGCTTGCTGGGTGACTTTGGGCAAGTCACTCACTCTCTGCCTAACCTACCTCCCAGGGTTGCTGTGAAGATAAAATGGAGCTGTGCAAGCCACCTTGGGTTCCTAACAGGAGGAAAAAGGTAGGTTACAAATACAGTGCAATGCTAATATTAATAATGTTTAATCAGCTCACCATTACATTTTTTCATATTTCAATTCCTTCTAACAACACTGATTACTTCTTTGTACCCCCGCAAGACAAGTTCTGCTGCAGCACAGCTACCTGTCTGTAATCAGTCCTAAAATAGCTGAAAAACCTCGGGAGGTAGTTCCACAAGGCCACTGATTCCAGCCAAAGTTATGCACAGCCAACTTGTGCTACACATTCACTGAAATGGCCCTCTTTGAGCTACCTCACAGGGTTGTTGTGGGGATAAGATTGAGCGCTGGAGGAGGAGAGTGATGTTACCCGCTTTGAGTGCTTTAAAATAGGAAAAGGCAGTTCCTAACTAAATAAAATGTTTCAACAAAACATGGTAAATATATTTCTATGGTAGGTCATCAGCCAGATACTATGCATAAGTAAACAGCGTTTTGCTGCTTTCCACTGCCTCTTCTAATATTTTGCACCAATAGGTCGAAGTCTACCAGCTTTAACAATGGAAGAAATAGTTCAACAATTAAGTAGTTAGTGCCAGTTTGTATCAGTCCAGGGGTCATTTGTATAGGTGCCTTGACAGCCTTGTGAAATCGAGCTCTTCAGTGAAGCCATCAATCTCTTCATAATGAACTTCCTTATATTTATTTCTTGCTGCTACCTTACTTTATCCTGTTCTCTAACAGCTTCTTGGTCCATGGCAACTTAATTAACAGTCTTGAACTGCAAGAGACCTGTCAGAGGACAGAAAGGACAGGTGGTAAATTATTTCATGCCCACTGGGTAGAGTAGTTTTAAAAAATGTCCACAACAAACAAGCATGATGAAACAGCTTTGCCAGGAAAAGATTCATAGATTCTAATCTTTGTCAAATCAGAAAGAGATTCAAAAGTTAGACTTTGTTTAACCTTATTCTTACTTGTGGAGGTTTGAGCAATACAAGCAAAGACTAAGAACAAGACAGTTTATTTTTCTCTTCACCACATTCCTTCAGAAAGGCTTCCCATCCTGGTTATTGGCTTCTGTTTCTCAATCACTGAGTTACTTCCTTCAAGTCCTCCCTTTCTCCCCGCCCTGGAATTTTGATATGAGAAACACTACACCACAATTTCTCTTGTGCTCAAATCTAGGTAACACGAATCTTACCTTTTTCTCATTAATAGGTTTGGGAAGCATAGCTTTGCAGCACTGCAAACAAACTGGTAACCACTGCATATAGAAACAAGTAATCTCTATTATTACTATCCCTATAATAAGTATATACAACTATCTTAGCCATTCCAGGTTTGGGAGTCAGCTAACCATTCCTATGACCATCCAGTCCTTTTTTTTTTTTTTTTTTTTTGGTACAGGTACATGGGTCAACTGAAGTCAACCACTTGCTTAGTAGTAGTTTCCAAGTCTGAAAGGCAGCCCTCGAAATATTTGTGCTCCTGTAGAGGATTTTTCCTGTGGCGATTTGTGCTTGCCAACTATTTCCAATGTGGGCCATTGTGCAAGGCATATTTACTGACTTCCACCTCTTTACCTAGCACTAAATCCTGTGCATTCCAGGTTGTACCAAGTGGCACTCACTAGCTCTGTTTGTGTGAACACTGCATAGCAGTCAGCATCCACATGCAGTCGCCCATCCAGCTGCAGGACAGGGCCTTTCCAGCTTGGCAAGGCTGCCACCACATGCTAGCTGCTGCACAGCTGTAAATTGAACTTCTCCAAACTCCCTCACACGGAGGCCTATTCCAGCTTGTGCCAATTGGCTGTTGCTGTTTTGTATATGGTAGGGATACTGCCAGTCCACCAGCAACCCACCCTCAAATCTGCCTCAGTGGTCCCTGCCTGCAGTAGCCTCACATAAAGATTGTTTTTCCCTAGGGAGCTATAGAATCATGTATAAGCCAAATACAAATTCTTTCCTTTTAATCTCCTTTGCCTGATCTGGGGCAGCACGTGCCTGCCCTTCTGTAATCCGCACGTTAGTTTTACCTGCTCCTTGGGTGGAATCCAGACATGCATCATTTCCCAGGTGTAAGAAATCCATGCTGGGTTTTCACCAGTGCTAATAAAGCAGAAGCGTTCTATTGCACACTGAGCCAGTTTAGAAACTGAATGCTTAGAAACGGCATTCTAAGCCCCTGTTTTCTTTCTACAAGGACATGTTGTGTAGAAGGGGTACCAAAATTAACAGAAGTACACTGAGGCAGCCAGAGTAGCAGCTTCAAGAAACTCTGCCCCCCCCACCCATCCCAAGGTCCATGACCGTTTTCACTCTGGTGTGCTGGGTCCAACCTCTCTCAGCCATCTGGAGAGCAGTCTGAGCAGTTAGGAGCACTTGGAAAGGGCCTTCCCACTGCGGTTTCAGTGGCCTCTCCTAGGCTTTGATCAACACTGACTGTTCTGTCCAGACCTTGTGCACAGGAAACTCCAAAGGAGGCATCTGTGCATGAAGTGCATCCTGTGGAGAAATGATAAAGATGACAGTACCTTTTGACATACCATCTAAGATACATGTCTGTGATCTCGGGGATTGCTAAGTGTTTCCTAGATCCTGGGAAGGGCATCCCACACAACAACTCAAAGGGTGACATTCCAATATCTGATCTAGGCTGGGTCCGAATTCAGAATAAGGCTATAAGCAAGACTTTAGTCCAAGGCAATTTAGTTTCCATTATTTTTTAAATTGCTGCTTATAGCAATTGCTTATAGCAGCAATTAAAGAAATTAATTCCCTCTAAAGGTGCTTCCAATAAGTCTTCCCTTACTTTAGTTTCTAGATCCACTAATTCCACACAGTTATGCTCTTGTTCCAATCCCAACTGCCTCCTATCAAGAAATCTGCAAAATTCACAACTCCTTCAGTAGTCAAAATAAAATCTAGCTGATTCATCACTACAGCCTCATGCTTAATAAGTTGGGAATTAACCACTTCCCAGCCCTGGTAGCCAACAGAGTTTGCACTTGGTGTGCCACTGTTACCACCAAAGCTCCCCTGAAAGTTATCTTCCTGGCATCTTCCACCAATAGGGCTGTTCCCTCCATCTGTCTAATACAAGCCCTCTCTTTGATTCCCCTTCCTCAGTAATTACTACAGTGGCAAAGAAAAAATTGCTTCTATCTACCATAGCCTCATAAACTTTTTCTTTAGTTCTCTTCTCCTTAGGACATCTAAGTCCTTCAAGAGGAGACGTGCAGCATCATTTTCACATCATTCCAAGTTGAGTGATAAAACATAGAAAAAAATTGAGTCAGAAAGGGGTCCTCCCCGGTCATCTAGTCTGACCCCCAGTTTCAGCCAACTCTGCTCATATAATCCCCAACATGTGGTTGTCCAAACTCCTTCACTGATGGGCCTCTACCACTTCCTATGAAATCCATTCCATTTTCCAGGGGTTCCTGACCCTCAGAGAGTATCTTCTAACATCCAACCTGAAACCTAGTTCCTGGAGTTTTGTTTCATTGGAATGCATCCTGCCCTCCTGGCATTAGTCAAATTAGTGCTTTGAAAAAAGCTTTTCAGAACACTCTGGAAAAACTAGGATTCTGATTCTTCTAATTATACAACTCAGAGGTGGTAACTGGTTGTTAAACACAAACACAAACCCAGGCAAGACCTGTCGCAGTGGCATCTGCAAGTTCTTGCTCTTAAGTTATAGCTGCTCACTCTTTCCTTCAGTCTCTCCAGCCACTCAGATGGAGTTTCATCTTTCTTTTGTTCCAAAGGCAGAGTCTTATGTACATTAAGAGACTGAGGTACTGCTTCTTTCATTCCCCAGACCATATACTGGCGATATACTCTAATACTTCCTGACTCTCCCTTCTAGAAGCCAGCACAGAACATCTCCTGCTCTGTTGGGATTTTCTCTTTTCCAAACATCTCTAGCTGTCTTCTGGATTAATCTCAATTCTTCACCAGAAAACAAAATACAAAAAATAGCTTGTAGTTCCTGCCTAAAAGGTCTCACTTCTGCTGCAGTCAGAGGGGACTCCACAAACCCAAATCTTCCCATTGCCAAGGTACCTGCCTAAAAGGGGCTGCCCTCACACTTTAGGACCGATTGGCAAGAACTCCCCCGTGGCTAAGTTTTTTCTGTAATGCGGGATTTCCATCCATCAAGCTCTGAACCTCCTTAGGGAGTTCAGGAAATGAAGGAGTGGTTCCCAAGGTGCCTTCCTCCACCATATCCCTAGGGTATGGTGGCAAATCATCTAAGGGATCCCATGATTTTAAGACCTCCAGTCTGGTTGAAACTGAGGCAGCCAGCCAGCTGCCTGCATACCTAGATTCCTCAATCACAGATTTGGTTTGATTTATTGTCAGGTTTAAGTCCTGACATGCAGAGGAGTCATCAGACCTGTATTGGGCCAGATGACTCCTCTGACTAGCGTGCATTTTGGCCATACAAATACACAGTAGTGCACTATTTTCCAGTCCCCTAACCTGGGGAAGACTATCCCAGAACCTTAACATTCTCCTCAGCAGAGTCCAACCTGGGATGTCGGGACCTTTCCCTCATTCCTTGACTTTAAGGGCTTACCCCCTTTTTTCGAACCTTTATTCCCCATCACTCCCCTTGAGTATTCAGGTCCTGTCCCAGCCAGCGTTCCTGGTGCATTGCTCTGTGGTATTCACCAAAAAAAGTCTTGGGTCTCCAATTGCCCCCACCCCAAACAAACAGCCTCCCTCTGAGCCCACCGAAATCGGCGGGGTGTGCACTTCCTCAGTAGTCTGCTGGACGAGTTGACGGATTGGTCGCAAGATCCCAGATGAGCCCCCATGGCTGTTATGCAAAAACCTGCAAAAATACTTCTCCTCAAGTTAAATAACCAACACTACCAACAGAATGAGGTGATTCCTTTATTTATTGCAATAGATGGGGAGAGCCCGCTCTATCGGAATCCCTCCAAAGTACAAACGCAAAAGGCAGCTCGTTTTACTCCTCAATCCATCCACCACAGTCCTCCCCTTTTCCCTCACTGGGTAAGGTACTAGAAGGTTACAATCTTTCCGTCCACCTGTTTCATATTCCCTGTCTCATCCCATTACATGAAGCTAGACACATTGCATGTGAATAGACAGTCATTAGCCCATTGTCTATTCAAGGTGTATGAGTTAATATTCATCACATTTTACTCCTGCATGCTTATAACTACAGGTTCACTACCTCGCTTCTCTCTAACTTCCCCTTGCCCTGTGACCCCATATCTCATAAAACTATTGGGAGGATGAGACAGGAAGTAGCATCTTTGTCTCCCCTCCACATTCCTCCAGACAGGCTTCACAATTTGGTTATTTGCTTCTTTGAAGGAAGTAACTCAGTGACTGAGAAGCAGACAGAAGATGCAAGGAGGCAGTGGTGCTGCCTCAGGGACAGGGCGGTGCTGCCAAGAGGACTGGGTCGTGTTGCCAAGGGCACTGGGCACCCCTGCCTCCTGCCTAAGAATAGAGCCAGTGATCCACTCAGTGGCACTACCCCGCTCTCATGGCAGAGCTATCCCCAAGCTGATGAGGCAGCCCCATCTCTTGCCCAAGAGCAGACCACTTGGCAGTGCTGCTCCATGTTCAGCACAGCATTGGATTGGCCATCCCTGTCTTCTGCTTCCTCTGGAGTACGAGGCAGGAATGCTCAGTCAGCTCTGCCATACGCCCATCTTCCCAGTTGTTCTGTGAGCTGTTTACACTACTGGGTCAACAATTTTATTAGCAGTAGTTTTATTTGCCCTAGTAGTGCAATCAGCACTCCTGCCATAAAGTGCAATAGGATGATCTTCTCGCTTTGGATGGGGCAAGGGCCAGGGGGCTGCCTGCTGTGAGAGGTCAACACGCAGCCCCCTGCACCTTTCCACAGGCCAGCCGGGAAGCTGCAATCATTGCACAATGAGAAGGGATGGCCTCTCTGCCTACACCCTCCTTCCTCCTGGGATGTCCTCTGGGAAAGGGAAGTGAGGGAGCGAAGCATCCCAGATGACCCTAATACTGTGTCAGGGTTATGGGTACTTTGCAAAACAACTGTCCTAAGTTGTTGCATTTTGTGCACTTATCCATCATGAGTTATACCGTTCAGGAGAAAATGAAAGCATCCATCAGATTTTTGTACACACCCAACTTTGTCATTAATTGACCTCTGGTTTGTGGGAGTCAACACTGTTAAGTTAAACTCCACCTTTTATGTAAACAGTAAAGGTTCTGATTTCATTGTGCAATGCTGATAAAGTCACGGAACAATCCCATGAATGCTGTTCTTCATGCTACAGAGCAAAGCCTGGTCTCCTTTTTTAATTCCTTTACTTGCCATCTTTGCTTTGAGATCTATAGAAAATAGATCACTATTTTAAAAAAACAGTCTAATAAAATAACATTAAGAAAAGAAGAAAGGAAGGACAATCTCTTGCAGAGAGAATGGGTCTCATACATTCTAAACAGTTTAAAGCGGAACAAGCCCATATTCTAATGCTTGGGCTTGATTCAGCAGGGAAATCTACACTTTTGTACAAGCTAAAATTTGACGATGTCTTCCTAACTTCGCCAACTGTTGGCTTCAATGTGGAGATGATTGAAACAAGAGAAAACATCGCCATAACCCTCTGGGATGTTGGTGGCCAGCACAAAATGAGGACCGCTTGGAGCAGCTATTTGGAAAACATACATAGCCTGGTCTATGTTGTGGATAGTAGCGACAAGTGGCGCTTGGAAGAATCAAAAAAAGAACTGGAGGTGATTTTGAAGAATGACAAGACAAAGAACGTGCCTCTGGTTGTATTAGCAAACAAGCAGGATATTCCTGGAGCTTTGGATGCGGAGGAAATAACTAAGAGACTCAACATAAAGAAGCATTGCCATGATCGAAACTGGTATGTACAGCCCTGTTGTGCAATTACAGGGGACGGTCTGTTAGAAGCAATGAAGAAAGTGACATCATTTGCAAAAGCCCACATGAAATCACAACAAGAAGCTTTTGCTATTTTCAGGCAAAATTAACATAACCTAATCTGACCCAGGCAATCAACTGTGCAGAGTTGGCCAGGACTGGAAATCAGCCTTTTAACTGAAATCTGCTTTTTCAACATGCTTTTCAGACTTTTATAAGACAGAATGTGTTTATACCAGGGCAGTTTATTGTTTTACTGTATTTGCTCCTTTGCATAATTTTTCAGAAATACTGTTTTACTGTATTTTAGTAAAATAGACATTTTTCAGATGAAGGTTTGTTATAAAATCATCATTCATATTTCATGGGCAATCCAGATGATCCACATCTTAATTTTGTAATCTACCTCACTGCCTAATGATTCTCCCAACTTTTCTTGATGGTGAAGAAAAGAAAAAAAGGAATGGAAAGCTGGGTGGGAGGAGTTTTCCCTGGAAAAGAAGGGGATGGTGTGTTGAAAGTACTGGTTATTTTGTGCTGAACTTTCTATAGAACCATGTCCTGCAGCCCTGAGCCATTCAAAACAACAGAAGCCACTTATTAAATTGATTATTTTGCTGCTTTACTCTGGAACATTAAGTACATAATAACTAATGTACTTACTTATTAAAAAAAAGCCATGCCGGAACAGACCAAAAGTCCATCTAGTCCAGCCATCTGTACACAGTGACAAACCAGCTGCCCACAGGATCACTTAAGCAGGAAGGGTGCAAAGCCTCCAGCTGCCCAAGCAGTTTTAGCACCTGTACTGAAATTACCTGCTTAACTTTGTGGTTTGCTGTGGTGGTGTTTTCTCTCTTTTTTTAAAAGAATGTTAATGGCATTCCAGAAGAGCAGATTTGTGCAAAGGCAACAAATAAAATAAAAACTGTGAGACAGCCTTGTGAGAGTGGTGATGGGTCGGAAACCTAAGTCTTTTTCCTTTACCTTTTCCTTTTCCACAGCAGTGATGTGCTGCTGAAAGCATGGTGAATCTGATTAGTCTTTTAAAAACAAAATTAGTATGATTGTTTCAGTTATCCTAAAGTCCTAGTGTAACCAAGATGTATCACTTGGTTTGAGAATACTTAGGAGGGAACAAAATTGTGACAAAGATGATACCATTTCTTTAATAAAATATGGGTACAGAATATAAACAATATATACACCGGGGGTCCTCAAACTTTTTGAATAGGGGGCCAGTTGAAAGGTTGCGGTGACCGTAGCGGGCTGGTGAGGTGGGGGTGCCTGGGGCACGGGCCGGTGAGGTGTCGTTGGGCGTGCGTGAGGCGGCATCGGGTGTGTGCTGCAGCGGCTCGCTTGCTCGGAGATCTCCCAGTGAGTCCAAAACCATCTCAGAGCGTGCGAGCCACCACCTCCCCGCCCATGCTGTGAGGCAGTGGCAAGCGCGCGCATACGGGAGGCAGGTGGCGGCGGTGGTGGCTTGCTCACTTGGAGACCATCTCCGAGTGCATATGGGAGGCAGGTGGCAGTGGCGGCTTGCTTGCTCAGAGACCATCTCTGAGTGAGCAAGCCACCACCTCCCCGCCCGCACATTGGTGGTGCAGGCCGAATCCATCCCGTGGGCCATAGTTTGAGGACCCATGATATAAACAATATACACCCTCCTTATCAGTGGCTATATCATCCTCCGAAGTTGCCCACTGGATGAGCAAGCAATGAGTACCAATTCTGCTCCCCAAGCCAAGAACAAAAGAAAGCACCTCTTGCCAGAGGTTTTCCTCTCTGCCACTGTTTTGCAGCCTATCAGTACACAGGCTTAAATCCTCCTTCCTGGGAGAGGCTAAAGCTGGTTCAGTAAAGGAAACAGTTTTGGTTCTCAGGAGACTTTTAAGGAATATACTCTACTTGAGGAAAGCAGCTTCAAGGCAATTATCTCCGGTGCTCTTCCTAGCAAGCTAAAGTTCATACCACACAGGAACTATCCTGGGTTCTGGACCCTAGAAAAGTTCACTACACTATCCTCTGAACCTTAATAATTCCTTGCCATTCTTCCAGTACAGCCCATGCAATAAAAACAACTACTTCATTCAAATAATTTGCCTAATTTTTAAAATTAGATTTATATCCCATCCTTTTTCTTACAACATTCTCCTCCTGTTGCTGTCAATTTTATCCTCATAACAACATCCCTGTGGGGTAGGCTGGACTGAATGTCTGTGACTGGTCCAAAGTCACCCAGTTGGTCCCATGGCTGAGTGGGGACTAGAACCCAGATCTTCTGAGTCCCAGTCCTGCACTCTGAAACCACTGCACCACACTGGCTCTCTTTTATAGTAATTTGTATTCTTTTCATGTGTGTGGGGATTATGGGTGTAATAGTAGTGTCCCAGAAGTGCAGACTTGTGCAAAGATTATAAACTGAAGATTCCTCTTTCTCCCAGGTAACTTGAACAATCAAAACTATCCCGCTGCTGAAAGTATTTACCTGTTGACTCTTTAGGGGCTGGAATCTAAAGCATAATTACAAGTTTACAAGTAATTTGGGGCAACAAATTGACAAGACTGAACAGATATGTGAGTGGAAATATAGTCATACATAAAGTGGTAGCAGTGTTTATCTATTTTGCCAGACTTGTAACTTCTTCAAGGAAGGGTCTGGAATGGGATTCTAAGTGTTCCTTTAAAGTTGTCCAGGCAGCAGGAGTCAAGACAGAGGCAGCAGGACCAGGGCAAAAGATCTTGAGGCAAGACAGAGTCCAAACACAGTCCAACATCCAGTAGTGAAGTCAGAAGCAGGGTCATAAACAAGAAACAGGGTAAATCAGATACCAGTGGTACATATCAGAACAAGACAAGGGCATGGTTGTAAACAAGTCAAGGGCTGAGAACCAGGGATACAACAAAAGCAAGCAGCAGGTATCTAAGGCAGGATAATCGGCCAAGGTTCAGGAGCAATAAAGTTGTGGCCAAGGAGGCAAGGGAATACATGGCAAGGGGAGGCAGGATTCAGCAAGGGTCAGGTAAGATGCAGAAGGTGAACCATAACTAGGAATAAAACCTGCATTACTGAGGCAGCTAGTGGAGGAAAAAGCTTGCTTTCATGTTGCTCTTTCCCCAGGTCACCTAGTGGGCACTCATCAGATCCAGCAGGGTCTGTGATCAATCCTGCAAATACTATGCTTGTTCTGGTTCTGGTCACCAGAGCGACAGAGCAGTCCAAAGGTACAGAATTGTTTATTTATTAATTAAAGCCTTTATTTCACTTTTCTTTTCCCCCTTCAGTTCTTCCCCTCTGTTCCAAATATTTCAAATACTTGGAATTTCTCTAAGCCTGCAGATACGTTCTTCTTTTCAGTGACTATCTCCTTTTGGCTACGTAAGATTCCTCATTCAGAGAGTTAGTTCGCAACAGTAACTTTAGAAACTTTACGTTCTTATCTAGTTCTAGCTTTTCAGAAGAGTGCCATCTGGTGGGTCATTAAACCCATTGCAATTAGAAACAACAATGTAATGGGTTGGAATGAAATACATCTTATTTTTACTGATCAACAAAGCCAGAATCATGCAAAACATCCACCACCACCACCTCACTGATATTTTCCTGTTAATTGAGACAAGTAGAATGGTCTGGTTCTTTCAAAAGGAACAGGCTAGCTCACTGCTTAGAAAACCCACAGTTTACTCAGACTAGGCTATTTGTAGAACCAGTTTTAACATTTTCAATTTCTTATTGAGTTACATGGATACATGAGTGTACAACTTAAAACTTCAACATTAAATGTATAAAGCTAATTATTCTTTTGATGCAGGGTGGATTTGAGTTAAATCACTAGTCAAATTTAAATCATGGTTTTCTACACAGACTCATTCTCGCAGATATAATCTTCATATTTACAATCACATGAAAGTTTCATTTTTAGAATAACTTTTCAGATTAGTTTTACAGTTATATCAAAAATTACTGATTTGGTTATATTATAAGAAACATATCATGCATAGATAATTATGAAATTATTGTGAGATGTTTGCATTTTGCATGCCTGCCTGCCTTACCCATGGGTAAGACTTCCTTAAAATTCAAATATTTTCAGTGTCATTAAACCTTCATTAAAATATTCCCAAACTGGGTTTCTTTTACCAGTTTAATGGCCTACTGCCATAATGGGTTTTCTCCTCCAAGGAAAGAAAAACATGATAAACCTCAAGCTATACACAAGAAATCAAAGACTTGTGCAGTATTCTGATCAAAAGGTTTCACTTTCATTTTTACCACTTGTCCCTCCCTCCTCATACTTAGCTTCTTGTGCAGCTTTATTCCACTCTCAACAATCTTATTCATTGAATTTTTTGAAATTCACCACTTAAAAGGTAATGGTTCTGTGTACATTGATTTGCAAAGGAACAATGGGATTAACATCTTCAAGCCAAAATAAGCATAAAATAATCAACTTAAATTGATCTTCAATTTATTTGTCATGCAGCACTTTAGAAATGCTGCTATTCCACCAGACCTTTGCCTGAAATACTAATAGTATTAATCATTAATATCTTATTAATGAGCATCTTATGTTTTCTTTGATACAGTCTGTATTACTTTAGAGATTTTATATGATAGCTGCCTGCTCTGGAAGTTCCATTCCTTGCATAATAGGACAGGATATATTTTTCTAAATGTAAATAAAGCAAGCTGACTTGGAGATCTGGACTGAAAGACAGAGCATTAAAGAATAAACACATGCAATTTTGTTGAGCCTCCTCAGTGATAAAGAAAAAGCTCTTATTTCTACATTCTTTAACATGAAATACTTTTTTCTTTTCTCAAGAAAAATACTTGCAGAATCTGTTGTAGGATGATGTGAGACATGATGCATGTAGGAAAGTATTATGAAAACTAATGGAGGCAGTTGGTAGAACCAGACTAAAAAACAGTACCCCGTAAAACTACTCCAGGAATGGCACTGGCTTATCTCCCAAAGTGTTTGCTGGGTAAGGATGAAAACGAGAGGTAACGATGAATGTGGGAACTAAACGACGGGCACAAAGTAACAACAAATCATTAAGGAGTTCTGGAAAATGTTTCACTTACATCCATCACTAAGCAGGGTATCACTGTACCATTAGAGAAACTCCAGAAAAACATGAACAATTCATCACTGAAAAGATACTTATAT